CCCCCAGTCCCCTCCGTGGGGCCCTTCCCACTGGTCCCGTTAATCCAGCTCAGCTGAGGATGTCGAGGTCAGGCTCTGGCACTGAGAACCAGCGTCTTAAAGGGGAAGGGAAGCTTGTACCCTCTTGCTGGGAGCCTGCTCCCCTCCCTCCATGTCCTGGGGACCCTGCTTGGTTTGCCTGCTGCCCCCGGGCAGGGTGCAGGGTGGCACTGAGGGGCTTGTGCTGAGGAGCAAGGGGATAAACGTGTCCCCTCCTTCCCTTTGCACCTCCCCAGCTCTCAGAGCCTCGAGTCCCACCACCTGCCTCCCCACTGCCCCTTAATGCCTCGGTGCCTGCCTCCAGTCCCTAAGCAGGGGAGAAAGGGAGCATTGTTCAGGGGTTTTGGGGAAAGAGCACGGGCACTGGGGGGCTGGGCAGGGCTGGAGGAGGAGGAAAGGCTCCCTCTGCCTCTAGGGACTGTGGGTGGCTGGAAGACTGGAAGAGAGGGGCTGGCTCCTGCACCCACATCTCCCTTGCTCCAGGCAGGCCCTGGGGAAGGGGTGCTCCTGGCTCTCTGGAGCCACAGGGCAGGCTGCCCCAACACTGGTGGCACTTCCCCTCCTCCTGCTGGAACCACCTGCCAGCCCAGAGACAAGCACAAGGCACACAGCTCTCTGTTCAAGCTAAAATTTATTCCTGCACAAGTCTCCCTTGTACAAGGGACTTCCCACCCATCTTGCTTACACAGTAAACAAGCCACCTGCCAAGCAGCAACGCTGCCCCAGTCCGGTACCTGCCGTGGGCAGCCCCTCCATCCTGGCCTGCCCCTCTCCTGAGCCCCCACCAGCATGTCCCAGGCTGGGTGGGATGCTCAAAAGGTGCAAGAGTGCTCAGCCTCGTGCCCACGGGGCCAGAAAGGGTGAAGCAGGATGGGTTGCTGGGTTGGACGTAGCTGCCTTGCAGGCTGGGGCTGGGATGGTGTTGGGTCAAGGCCCATCTCTCCTCCTGCTGCACCTCCAGCAAGGCAGGGTGGGGAGGAGAATAAATTAAGAGAAAAGGCTAAAAAGGCCACTGGCGTTTGCTAGCTGTGGGACAGAGCAGCAGGGTGGGTGGGGATGTGAATCCCTAGGCACCCGGGAGGGCTCCTGATCACAGCCCCAATTGCAGGTAGTCCTGGAAAGCCACTGTCCTCCCCTCCCTCTCCTCCACAGGGCAGATGTTCCTGTGCAACCCCAATGGCCTCCCACTCCCCTAAATGGTTTAAGGCACCGTCGTATGAGGAGGAAGGTAAAAACCTACCCTGGAGCATCCCCCAGCACAAGTCCTTGGAGGGCCAGGAAGCATTGGATTGCTCCAGGTTGAGTGAAGTCCATGATAAATACATAATTCCACAGAACGTTTTCCTCTCTCCTGTCCATGAGTCTGGGCCTGAACTCAGGCTGCTCTGAGGAGGGTGCAGGGGCAGCTGGTGGGGCCCTGCTGCCTGGGACAGGATGGAGGCAGCTGAAGGGTCCTTTGCAAGGAGGTTCAGAAGTGCCAGGAGGAGGTCGGGAGCAGTTCATGAATCCTCTGGGGTGGCCGAGCAGGATGGGAGTGCTGAGAGGCCAGGAGGGATGAGGGAGGCTCTCCTGGGTCCCCAGCTCTGGGTGCTACCCCAGGGGAGCAGAGGTCAATGGGGCAGGCAGCCCCATGCCCGCAGAGTCCCTTGCTCAGTGGTTTTATTACACACCAAAAAAACCCAACAAAACGAACAAAAAACAGAAGAAAAAGAAAAAAAAGGGGGGGAAATAATAAAAAAAAAAATAAAAAAAAATCAAGAAACTAAAACATACCCCAAGGTAAAAATCAAATGCCAGTGACCAGGAGGTGCCTGAGCTGCCTGGGCCCTGCCATGGGCTGCCCTCCCCAGTGCAGAGCTGGGCTGTCCTTGCCTGGGCTCTGCTCCCACTGCAGCCACCTCGGGGTCCCTCCTCTTCACCCCCCTTCTTGCACCTGGGGGGGCAAACGGCCTGAACCTGGAGGTGCTGGCTCTGCGGGGTGGCACAGGGGTGCCCGGGGAGGCAGGGCTGGCTGGCTACATGCGGGAGGACGGGCTGGCCAGCTCGTAGAAGAGCAGGTAGGCATCGCTGCTGCGGACGTGGCTGGAGGACATGGGGGTAACGCTGCAGAGAGGGGGAGATGGTGCTGTCAGCAGGAGGGAGGAGGCACTGGGGGGCTTCGGGCAGGGTCTCCCCGGCT